CTTCTCCGCAAATGCACTCTAGTTAAAAGTCTCCAATGACATAACAACCGCATAATAAATGAGTGGCGAGGCAAGTTCATTCCGCTCTAAACTAACTTTCTTCATGCAACTTTAGGACTGGAATGTTGCATGCAATGATATGCTGCTCTAGCACTAAAAGGAGGCAAAGGTCCTCTCCATCCAACATCATCTACATTAAAGTCAAACTCAAGCATTTGAACAACATTCTGCCTCAACTTTAAGATTTTCCAAAATCCCCAAGAATAAGATACAGAAATAGGAACATGCCAAAAGCTTCTATCTCTTGAATAGATCTCATGAATCCATTTAACCCAAAAGTTATCAGATTTCAGAGAAATTTTCCATATATGCTTCAGCATTAAAGCATTCTTAACCATCTGAACGTCATGATAAGCTAAGCCTCCTTGATCTTCAGGTTTACAAATATTCTTCCATGCAACTAAAAGAATCTTAGCTTTATTATCATTACCCCCTCCAAAGAAACTGCCTGCATACTCTTTATACATCTTTGATAACTTTCTTAGGCAAAATAAAGGATGAGGACTAATAGTTATGCAAGCTTAATAAAACAGATATAAGAAGAGACGTGTCAGCATAAGAGGGGGAATTTATTGCGTAAACTTCTAACTCTCTTCATAAGCTTATCAATTAAAGGCAAACAATCATGATAAGATGGAGATTTAGCAGCCAAAGGAATACCTAAGTACTTGAATGTCAAAGTCCCCACAGACGGTTTGCAATGCTGCAGCATAAGCTGTCTATCCCCATGAGAAACTCCACCAAAGTACATTTGGCTTAGACTTACAACTTTACAAGAAGTTATCTTTATACTTGCAGCCTCATTTTGAATTTGCAAGCTTTTTACTAATTCTCCTTGGTTATGTGCTTCTAGATGCTTTAACTTTCATAATATTTGTGTGATGCATGATGGATGATGCTTAATTACTGGACAACTGCACGTCAGTCAATGTATCCCGTGAGAATGTATCCCATGAGAAATGATATAATATGCAACATGATACAAAAGGCGTATACACAAAAAGTACCAATACAACAACTATGATTCAATCTAATATCCCCGGATACATCCTTTAAGCCTTTAAGCTCTAGATACATATGCAGTTTATCATTATAAATTGTGGAAACGATTTGAAGTGAAAGGCATCAACTTAATCCATGCATTTCTCACCCAGAAAGATAGTGACTGATAATAGGTCCTCCGTGAATGACCTAATGCAATTTTCCATCAAACCCATAACTTAAAGGTAAGGTTAAAAAACAAAATCATTCTATTTTAAAACCAACTATAAGGATTAAAGTAACTAACCTTTAGCCTACTTACCCACATCAGAGACAAATTAGTAAATCTTGTGGTGTACTGGTTACAAGAATTTAATCAACATTCTATATTAAAATCTAGTATATGTAATTTGCACGTGCATCAGTGATTTTCCCATTCATAAACAGTAATGACACATTACAAAGCTAACAAAAGATAACCAAGTGCTTTCCACAAAGCCAGAGTAAAAATTTCACTAACACCTCACCCATTGTTATTGAACCAACAACAAAATTGCATCATGATTCAAAACCATGATTCACAAGTCCAATTTATGTTTTGTGCACAATCATAGTTGTTGTATTGGTACATTACAAAGCTAACAAAAGATAACCAAGTGCTTTCCACAAAGCCAGAGTAAAAATTTCACTAACACCTCACCCAATGTTATTGAACCAACAACAAAATTGCATCATGATTCAAAACTATGATTCACAACTCCAATTTATGTTTTGTGCACAGTCATCATTGAAAACTACAAAAACTAAATATGACGAAACAGTTGATGTATCAATCACATTTGAGCAAACATGCTCGTCAAAACCCAAATGTGAAGTTGCACGAACTAATATACTGCATGCCAAATACAGTACGCACACAAAGATAATCCTACGATTACCCAAAGTCTAAAAGAAATTCTTGTGCAAACTAGAAACTAACTAAATAACATAAAGGGTCATGAACTTACCAATGGGACCTCTCAAACTCAATCCGTCATCCTCTCTATGTCCTCCACAAAGCGCTCAAGGGCTTCCTTCATCAAGTCCATCTCGCGTATTTTGTCTTTGATCTCCATCACTTTTAGCTTCTTAAACTTGCTCTCCAAATACCTCGCATTTTCTGGGTTAATCGCGTCCCATAACTCCGCTGAGATGCCTCCCCTCATATTCGCCAAGCAATCCTTCAAGAACGGATACTCCCTCTTCGAACTCCCTCCTCCACCATCAGCCTTCACCGCCTTTTTAGATTTCGCAGCTTTCCCCTCATTCTTCGCCTCACTGTTGTTCTCCATTCCCCAAACTTTCTTCGAGAGCTCGTACACCTTCTCATCCAGAGGTTTCCCAAACTTGACTGCTTTCCCGTTCTTCACACGAGCAGCTACGGACTTATACTTCTTCTTGATCCTCCGAATCTTTTCGTGAAGCTGAGAACCATTGACCTCGAGGCTCAACGAACCCTTCACAAAGTCGTGAAAGTCTCGAATCCCAGCGGTGTTGAGCTTGATTGGGCCATATTTGGGCTCGAACTCGATCATGGCCTCAAGGATCGCGATCTCGTCCTCAAGGCTCCAGATTCTCTGGAACAAGGACTTGCCGTTGGCGTTGCGCTTTCCGTTTGACTTCTCACCCGCATCCAAGGGTTTGGGGGCGGGAGACGCCGGTGTGGAGATCGACCGGGGCTTCTTCGCATTGGATAGGGGCTCTTCGTCCTCTTCATCATCGTCTTCTTCCTCGTCGGAGTCGGATTCGCTCTCGTCGTCGGTTTCTTCGTCGTCCTGTTCTTGATTCTGGGCTGGGGTTTGGGGGATTGGTCTGCTGATGATGGGTTCTTCGTCGGAAGAGGATTCTTCTTCCTCCTCAGATGAGGAAGAGCGCGGCGCTGGAGGAGGTGGCGGTTGTTTCTTCGCCATTAGGGTTAGGATTTTGAGAGATTTGAGGAGCGGAAAAGACCGATATAAATAAGTCTTTTGTTTTTTAAATTAGATACGTGAAATTTTACATTTGCAGATAGTTTCTTTTGACCTCAGGCTTCATTCATAATTTGGGCCACCGTCACCCGGGCCGGCCCGGAGAGAAGGGATTACAGAAAATGGTTTGTGCTGATTAGTACTTAAAGACCTTATACTTTTGTTTGAACTTGGATGCCCTCACTTGATTTCGCAAGCAATTGTATACCCTGATGTTTCTAAAATTTGCATTATAATATCCCAATTATGTAAACATGAGGGTTTTCTCCTGAAAATTCCATGTAAAATTTACATGCTATTATAACTTTTTAATATTTGATTTTTGTTAAATTTACAATTAAACCTTCATTGATTCTATTTTAAACCTACCCTAGTTCTATTTAAAGTTGAATAGGTTCAATAATAAAGTTAACAAAAAATCAAATGAAAAAAGTTCTGAAATAGAATGTGAGTGTCACACAAGAATTTTGAGAGAAAATTCTCATATTTGTATGATAAAGGGTATTAAAATCAAGAGGGGTCCAGCAGAATCGATAAGCTGCACATAAGTTGTATTGCAAGGTTTTTAGGTTCGACTCGCTTGGAGAGCATCAACAATAAATTAATTTACCCAAGGTTGTATTTTGGGGTGTCCTTCGCCAC